TAAAAAAAAAAATTTTGAATTTACTTACTTGTAGCCGGAGTTAGAGGCGGTCGGATACTTATGACCGCTACTGTACTATTAATAATAAAATAACTTTATTATTTTCACAAAATTTTGCCAAATCTGCATCCTTCTTTTTCTGTTCCAATGCTGATTCAAATGCTTTTAAGAAATTCATTAAAAATGTTATAGCATTTATGTAACCTTTCATTAAACTGTTCATGAATTCACCTCTTTGTGTTATAAATATATCTGTTATAAATATTTGCTTGTTATAACATGGTGCCAAACAGATTAAATTTTCTTAAGTACTTGATAGTTAATGAATAATTTGTTTTTAATTGTTCCCATTTTTCCAAAAAATCATTCTCATCATAATTACCATATTTTTCATGAGATGCTATAAACATAAAGCATGTTTTATTTCATATAGCTAAAAAATAAAATCTACTGCTTTAATAATAACTTAATCTTCATCAGTTAGAAATACAGTCAACTCTTATTATAACGAACTTTATGTCCTAAATCTCAACTTCGCTATAAGGTTATAGTAAAGATTTTAAGAGATTTGATTGGCCAATTCACTATAATAAGAGTAATTTTATTATATTTATTCAAAAAATTTATTATATTAAGAGTTCACTATATTAAGAGTTAACTGTATTTTTGGTGAAGTTTTATAACCATTTTTAGTAAGTTAGTAAAAGTCCAAATGAAATTTTCTGCAGTTTCATCACTCATAATTACTTTAAAAAAACACACACTTTGGTCATAATTATTGACCCTAGCAAAAATTCCAAATGGCATTCCAAACCTATTAGTTTTGTAAGTATTATCAAAAATAATTATATCATAAAAGTAACAATAGTTTATTCTCTATTCAAGAAATATTCAAATTGTTTGCCTAAATTCATTTGTTTTAGGATCTATTAAAACTTCATAATAAAATTCATTGTCTTGAGATTTGAGATCTTTCAATTTTTTAACAAAGTTATTTGAATCAAATTCTCATTTTATTCTCTCTTTTTGATAAATAAAATTATATAAATCATTATAAATCCAAGTTACAATGTCTAAAAATTCTTTTTTAGTATTATTCAAATTGTAAGAACATTACAATTAACATGATAAAGAAGTAGTTCTTTTTTTAGACATAAATTTGCGAAAAATTCTAGAAACTATAAAATGGTTGTGTTCTAAATGTGCAGAAATTAAGTACCAAAATTCATTACTAAAATTAAGTAAAGTACGAACTCTAAATTCATAATTATAACATTGTGAAATGCAATTTCTTTTAATTAGACTATTTAAATTTTTGTCAGAAAAATCTTTTCTATTATAAAATATTATTCTTTTATATATTTGACCCATAGCATTCTTTTCAATTTTTTCTAAATGAACTTGAAAGTCTTATTATTTTATATATATTTTAACTGCTATAATAAAAGTTTCTTCAGAAGAATAAGTATCACTTTTATTAAATTCAATATTAGGAGTTTCACTATTAAAAGTATTTTCAGAAAACTCAGAAAATACTGAATCATAGTCATAAGTTTCTTGAAAATTTTTTTTCATTTTCAAAGTATTGAAATTGTTATAAAGGCAGTGTGAAAAAAAGTAGTATATATCATATATAAGATAATCAATAATCATTGTTTATTATGATATAAGTAGTAATGCATTATTATATGATATATAAATATAGATCAGAATCAGCTAATCACAGAAGAGGTCTAAGATAAACGTTTAGACCTCCTGATACAAGTTAAAATTTCCCTTTGAAATATGTGTAACTGTGATCAAAATCACATAATTCTAATTGTTGCAGACTTGTATTTAATATGTTCAGTCATTTATTCCAATTCAGTCGTTTAGTTAAATCCATTGGAACAGAGCATCCTTAACCTAGAGTGAGAGTATAGATCTTTACTCTAAATCTAGTGTACTATAAGATTTAATGAGTTTTATTGATCTAATTTGTTTATATTACATATATCTTAAAATTTTCGCAATATTTTTAAAGAAAAATATAATGAAGAAATATTCAACTTAAAACAAATTTTGCAGTATTTAGTGTAGTGTTTTAAAGGAATAGTGAAGAAAATATTTTTCGCAATCTTTTTTTCATTTAGAAGATTTATTATTGAATAAAATATATGATTTATTTTATTTGTTAAAAATGATTATTTATTGAGTAAAAATATAACTTATTAAATACATAATTTACATTTTACTATATCTTTTACTAATAAAATATAAAGCCATATAAACTTCTATAACTATAAAGCAGTTGACATAGCAATAGATTATCTTAACAATACAGTATATTAATATTTATTTATTTATTATATTTTTATTATAAGTTTTCAATAAAAAATATTTTAGCAAATTTTATATTCAAAAAATTAGTTCAACCATAAAATAAAAATAAAAAAATAAAATAAAACCTGTAAAAAAAGAAATAACTTACTTTTCTAAAATGAAATTTATAGTAAATGGAATAGTAAATAAAGTAAGCTGTAAAAAAAAATCAAAAAAAATCTCTTATTTATATATATTAAATCTTATTATATACTCCAGTTTAGGATAAAAGTCTATACTCTCACCTTAAATTAAGGACACTTTTAGAATAATTAACTGGATATCCAATTCAATCACATATTATAGCTAATTATCAAATCAAACTTTTCTTTCAAAAAAATTTTTATTATACTAACAGACTTTAACCAATCTAATTCATTTCAGTCTAATCAATCAATCCAGTCCAGTTCCAGTTTAGTAAACTCTGAATTAGTCTAGTGATAACACTAATGCTAGGTCATTTTAATTTTTTTTTATTACAAGTCATATTATTATTCTGGTTAGTTGAGGTTGAGATTAATTAAAGTTTAATTTGATTGGTCAGATTTGCTTGCATTTGTTTTCATGATGTAATAAGAAGATATTAATTAAAAGATCAGCTGATGTAATATGATATACGTGATCAGAAGTCATATAAACTGCATTATGTTAAACGACGAAGATGATAAATATGAAAGAAATGATTTAAATAAAGATTATGCAAAAAATCCAGAAATCACCAGAAATTCTTTTATATTATTAATAATTTTATATTATTAATCATTTATTATTATTAATCAATTAGTATTATATTTATTTATATTAGTAAATTTAGTATAAATAAGGCAGACAACTATAATAAAATAATTTGTAAACAATTAGAATTTAATTAGTTTATTACCAACAAGATATGTTAACAAATATAATTGTATTAAATTCTTTATTCTACAATAAAATTCTAAACGTTTATCCTAAATATACATTGTTATTTGAAGTAATAATTATTTGTAAACTCTTTAGAGCTCTTCCTAAAGCATTGATTAAAGCTGAATCTTTTTGTTAATCTTGTATTAATACTAATTATTAGTTATTAGTATCATAAGATAATAATTTAGTGCAGGTTAGATAAATTAAAACTAATCTGACAAATTATATATATATACAGTTTTTGGCAAAGAATGGCAAAAAGTTTTTTTTGAATAATAAAAATTTTTAATAAATAACTTTCAAAATTTTTTTTATTATCAAATGCTTTTGACTAAGAAATTATACACTCAAAAAATCAAAATATAAAAAGTATTCTCCTTCTCTGTCAATCTGGATTTAAATACAAGTTAAAAT